CCCCAAAACCCCAAAACCCCAAAACCCCAAAACCCCAATCTCAATGGTTAATATTGATAGTCACTACTTAAAACTCTTTTTACAAAATTAATAAATAATATTTCTAAAACTAAAAGATGAAGCAGAGATTGACAGCCATTGATATAAGAGCACTTGTAATCACCCTGAAAAGGAAACTGAAGAGCTTAAGAGTAGCAAATGTGTATGACATTTCCAATAAGCTTTACCTCTTCAAGCTGGCAGCAAAGGGAGTTAAAGAATTCTTACTGATAGAAGCAGGAATCCGGATGCATACCACTGACTTTGTTAGAAACAAGAACACAATTCCCTCTGGGTTCACAATGAAGGTAAGATAATACATCCTTAAAGGACTTATAGCTGAGAAAACATATTAGGACCAGAAGAGTAGAAGATATCCGCCAAGTTGGAATAGATAGAGTTGTAGATATCACCCTGGGGCAAGATGATAAAGCATTCCATATTCTTATCGAGTTCTACGCGTCAGGAAATTTGATTCTTACAGATCATCAATACAATATTATTAGTCTTCTAAGGACACATAGGTATGATGAGGATACCCGTTGAGCAGTTGGAGAACCATATCCTTTCACTCATGCAGCAAATCTTAATTTAGATTCAATTGTCAGCGATAAATCAGGAATTGAACAGATGCTTGCTGAAATTGAAAGCAAGAAGAAGGAACAAGCTGAACAAAGTACATAGCCTTTGATAATATATAGGCACAAAATAAATCTAAAAAGAAGCAGAAGGGAGAAGGTACTGTTAAAGATATTGCTATTAAGATGGTTCCCTATATGACTCCCATGATGGCTGAACACTGATTAAGCCAAGTCGGAGTCAACCCTAGCGATCACTTTAATATTGATGATGATCAGATGGCTGATAAGGTTGTCCAAGCAGCTCTGCTGTGTAAGGACATGGTGTCTGGACTTGAAAATATTGACACTATTCCTGGCTACATCATCTATGAAGAATTAAAGCAAGAACCCAAGGAAGATCTGCTCCAGACTAATCACAAAGCAACAAATAAGAATGTCCAAATTGATGAAAAGAAATCAGAGCAACAAGACACTGCCAAAGTTGGTGATGATAGCAAGCAACTAAGCCAGTAAGCTAACAATGCTCATATGTAGACCTCCAGTAAATGAAGAGACCAAAGAAACACCCACACAGCAAGATGAACAAACGGTTGACAACGCAGGCAATTCAGTCGATGAGGAATCTGACCGAGACACCGAACTCAATCCAGACAAAATATTCGAAGGCAAATAAGGTCAAAGAGTTCGTCTGCTTCGAACTGCTCCAGATGAAATCAGAACTCTCGCTCGAATTCGACTGGTTCGATGAGTGTGTCGACCTCTACTTCACCCAGATTGATAAGCAGAAAGAAGAAAGCAAGCTCCAGCAGAAAGAGTCTGAAATTTACAAAAAGATGAACAGAATCAAGAATGACCAGCTCAAGAGAATTGAGGGACTCCAGAAAGAACAGGATAACTCCCTGACCAAAGCCAAGCTGCTCCAGTCCAACATCGGTGAGGTCCAGGCCATCATTGAAATACTGAACGCTCTGCTGCAAAGTGGACTGCAGTGGAAAGAAATCTGGAGAATGATCAAGGAAGAAAAGAGAGCCGGAAACCCTCTGGCCAACCTCATATTTGGACTTGATCTTGAACACGAGAAAGCCATGCTTGTGTTCAACACTGCTGAGATCGAAGATGCAACCGAGTTCTTTGCTGAAGGTCAAGACAGCATCATCGTCAAAATGGACTTGGACCTGACTCTGTCAGCTCAGGCCAACATCCAGAAGTACTTCGAGATCAAGAAGAAGACTCAAGACAAAGAAGAGCGAACCAAAGACAAAGCCAATGAAGCCATCAAGCAAGCTGAAGATCAAGCCAGAAGAGCCTTGCTTAAAACCAGAAACGAGCAGAAGCTTAAGAACCACCAGAGGAAACCATACTGGTTCGAGAAGTTCGACTGGTTCATTTCGAGCGAAAACTACTTGGTCATATCTGGTAGAGACTCGCAGCAAAATGAAGAAGTCGTCAAGACCTACCTCGGTAAACGAGATGTGTACTTCCACTCTGAAATTGCAGGCTCAGCATCTTGTGTGATCAAGAATCCAACCATGGAAGAAGTCAGTCCTCTGACTCTCGGTGAAGCAGCAACTTGGGCGATTTGCCACAGCAAAGCTTGGGACTTGAAAGTGGTCACTTCGGCATTCTGGGTGTATGGAGACCAAGTTAGCAAGACCCCACAGAGCGGTGAGTACTTGCCTCAGGGATCCTTCATGATCAGAGGCAAGAAGAACTTCATCAACCCTCAAAGGCTTGAGCTTGGTTGCACCATACTGTTCAAGCTTGCTGATGACTCTGTAGCGAACCATATCAACGAAAGAAGGAACAGGACCAAAGACCCTGTTGATGGCGCCGTGTCAGAGGATCGCAACAAGACTAAACACAAAGGGACAGAACAAACACAACAAGAACAAGAACAAGACTCTAAAGCAAAGGATGACAATTCTGAAGCTGTGCGACAAGACCCCAATGAGCAAGAGGATTCTGAGCACGATGAAGACTGAGGCCAGCAAACCGAAGACCAACAAGTGCTTTCACAGACTGATGCTACAGCAGATATTACAAAATAATGAGACAGCTCAAGAAGACTCCAAGCATGACAGTGATCATGAGGATTCAGACAAACAAGAACAACAAGATTACGATGAAGATCAGCAACAAGATCCTGATGAGCAATCTGCAGATGATGCCGACCCTGATGAGTCTGAAGAGCTTCCAGAGCAAGAACCTGAAACGCAGACTGAAGAGTCAAAAGACCAAACACAAGAAGTTGAAGACCCCATTCAGATAACAGAAGAACCCCAAAATACAAGTGAAGAGCCAGATCAACTTACTGAAGAAACAAAGGAACCAGTCGAAGAAGCCAAACAAATAAAGCTGAATAGAAAGCAGCAAATGAGAAAAGATAAAGTGTTTGCGACAAAACAAGAGTCAAAGCAGAAACACAAAGACAAAGGTAAGCCAGCATTTAAATTTATTTCAAGTCTGGTTAGTCTTGTTTGTATATCCAAATTACTTGTTCTCACTTGTTTGTGTAGTCGACCACCAGCAGCTGCCCAGAGGAAAGAAGACCAAACTCAAGAAAAAGAACAAAAAGTATGCCAACCAAGATGCCGAAGACAAGAAGGCTCTCATGGAGCTTATCGGCGCTAAAGAAATGCAGATCGGTCAGAAGAAAGTCAAAAAGCAAGAAAACACGCAGTTCTACAAGCCTGAACAAGAACAAGCTAAGAAGCAGAGACAGCAACAAAGGAACAAGCAAAGACACAACCAGCAAAGACCCAAGAAAGTACATAATGCAGAGGAGCAGAAAGAGATCGCTCAGATTATGAAAGACGAAAACATCACCACACTCGAACACGTAAGTTGTTGTGCTTAAGTTTAGGCGGATGTTTCTGTGCTTGACAAGCTGACTGGGCTTCCGAAACCTAACGACACAATCCTGGACGCAGTGGCCATGTGAGCTCCGTACTCTGTGATGACCGCTCACAAGTACAAAGTCAAGATCACCCCTGGAAACCAGAAGCGAGGCAAAGCTAGGAAACTCATACAGGAGATATTCGGGAAGGTCGCTGGAGGTCCTCCTCAATCAACTCTTATAAAGGCTATTCCAGAAGACCAGTTTGTAACCGTTCTACCCAAGGGATGCCAAGTACTTGCAGCTGGGCTAAACAAGCTCAAACAGAGCAAGAAACAGAAGAGAAAGAACAAGGGAAAATAACCATTAAAATAACCTTACCAACTTCAACTTTTCCCCTCAAAAATGGGGTTTTGGGGTTTTGGGGTTTTGGGGTTTTGGGGTTTTGGGGTTTTGGGG